CGCCTCCGCCGCCGCGCCCGCCGCCCACGCCACCGCCGCGCCCGACGCCACCTCCGTCGCCGCCGTCGCGCCCAGCGTCGCGTACCTACGGACGGAGGCTCGTCTTTATTTGGTTACATGGGAATCGTCGAAATCGGTGGCATCTATCCGAAACCGCGCCACAAACCGTAACCGAAACCAAAAATGAAGCCGTAATCTAAACCGTAACCGAAACCGTAACCGAAATCGTAATTGAAGCTAACCGAAACCGTAACTAAAAACGAATTCGTAACCGAAACATTAACCAAAACAGAAACTGTTAAAAACTATTTCAACAGTAAAAGACAAGAAAAAACAGAAATTGTTAGTCTTATGAAAACTAAAATTAAAAAAAATAATAAAAAAAAGGATCATGGTTAACTCTTATGAAATATATTATTGTGACCGTAACCAATTGAAAGTGTTTCGGTGCCACATTGTTCCTAAAAGGACATCGGAAACTTCGGAATAGCGAATAACTCTCGGTTCATGACACGTTTCCAGAAGTGATTCTGGTTGTCTGAGTTATTTCAAAAAGCATTGCTGGTGATTATCTGCCAATGTTACTTTATTTATTATAAAACACCGAAACGAAATGTTGGTATTAATACACTAAAGTATTGAAAGAAGAATACTACAATTTCTGAAAAATATCGTTACCATTCCTCAAAGTATCTACCTGATGGTGGAAATGGCCAGCTCCTCGCCGATTGCCATATAAAACGTGCAGGCCGTGAGGTCGGCCAGCACCGAGGCAAAAAATATCAAGAGGGGTCCCGAGAAAATATCGTTGAGAGCTGAGCAAATGTTTAGAATCGATTGGTGGGTCTGGCGAAGGGCGAAAATCTTCGCTTCCAAACGCATGTCTTCGACAATTGCTTCTTTCCTAACCGCTTCTGAATGGGAATTCACGTAGCGTACTTCATCGCCTTTCCTAACTAATACTTGCTTAAGCAATCGTGCATGCATTAGCTCGCTTGCAATTGCCTCGATTTCTAAAACGATTTTTTCGAAATAATATTTCGTGGTAACGGTGAAAGCGATGAACAGCACGCTCATGGTAGTCATCTTCCAGTGGATGAGTGTTTTTTGGAAAGATACAGTAACACGTTGGTTCCAGCAGACAGTCTCGAGGAAGCAATGCAAGACTTCGTAAGCTAGGAATCCTATGATGACGAACGCAGTACAACACCACGACACACCAAATGTTCGACTCATGGAAGAATCCAGCTGCCGTTCCACGTTTTGAAGAAGACGCATGACGCGTTGCCAACGTTCCGCCGCAGACGCTGTCAGGTTCTTCAACATTACAATCGGAAAAAAGATGAAAGGGAAAATACACAGCACGACGAGAGTGTATTCCAGAGAGCTATGCTTCTGTGAAACGTCAACACTGCCGTAATGGTTCAGGTAGATTATTATCAGGGTGAGAATTAAGTCGATTCCGATGAAGATGACGGAGATACTAACGCCAAGTTTGGTGCGAGCTATGCGAAGTGTGGGTTTCACACCGAACGGAGCCATGCCCAGCAACCAGGCTAGCACCAGCAATGGGTATATGACTCTCACTCGTGCCGGTAGTAGGGCTTCTGTATTTCCCATCTCTTGCAGTTGCACAGTTGTGAAGCAAGATCAAACAACTCTGAAACAATCCAGAGATAATGATTTAAATCCATAGGTCGCATTACGTTGGAACTATAATAATTGAAGCGTCAGGCCGAATAACGGTTCATGTTCCGATTTATGAACTTAATACAACAAGTAGAAGCACATGTTACATCCACTCGTTAGTTTTATTAGTAGACTGGTAACATATACCATTATTCCATTTTTTAAATTTCTTATCATATACTGTAAGTTTACACACTAACTAATAAGACAACATATATTAATAATAGACAAATATTTTAAAACATAAACCATTTATCCTCAAAAAATTGATTTATAAATATTCTAATAGGCTGTTATTCGGCCTAATGCCCACGGTTCAATTAAAGTGATCATTAAGAGAGAATAGTAAGCACGTGGGTTTTGAGAAGAGTTCGGACAATTCTCACTGAGCAAATCTCTTCTCCGTATTTTTCATTTCCCCTCAGATGGAAGATTGACAGCGAACTGATTTTCTTGTCCTTGCATAGATTTACTCGAGTTTACCAAACATTATTCGAGCTATATGTCCAAACTGTGTGTCTACCGATTATATCATTCTGAACTCTTCGATTTCCAAAGATTTTA